ATGTGTTGATAATGATGTAGTTAATTGATCTCAGAAGAAAAACCTGTACAATTTAAAACATTACAGCATCACTTTCGCGGCAATCAATGTGGATAGAAAACAGATTCCTGCTGGACCTTTACAAACTTATTTTGATGCTGAATCGTATCTATGAAGAGATGTATAATTATTTAGTGGAATGGAAAAAGAGTTTCAAGATAAAGAAATTGATATAGGTCAAAATGAGAAAGGATAATATTTTGTTGCATTAGAACTGCTTCCACATAACCTCAATATAAGAAGATTCATTAAAAAGAACTGTCGATTGTGGACTTACAATAAAAAGTACTAGAAGGACCATGTTCGTCTGTGTGTGGATAATATTGTATATATTATGTTTATTACCATTATAGACATGTGTTGAAACGAAAACTGTTATAGAAATTTGGATTGTACAAAAATATTAATGATATGTCTGTTCATAATTTTGTTGCAAAATATTTTCCTGTGAATGCTCCTTTCATGGAATTATTATCGGTTGTAGGCCAAACGAATAGATAATTGTTGTGAATTAATTTAAATAAGAAACAAAAAGATATTTTCATGTATTCTTTTATTCAGGATAACAAAATAGTAACAGAAATTAGAAATCAACTTTTCTAACACATTTAAAATTTTTCAAATGTAGAAAACTTACAGAGAAAATATGATATTTTGTGAATAAAATCATCTTTCTCAATTGTACCCCATAGTCTCAAATCAGTAAATTCATGTAAGTTTAACTTACTAGCTCTTTTTTTGAAGTACAGATTATATAATATCTATATCAACTTGAACTAGAGCAGTCTTTAAATACATCCAGATACCTTCATCATGATCTAACATGACACATGTATGATGAACTAAACTGGGATAATCAACATCACAGATTTTGTATGAGAGGATAAATATGTTCAGCATAAACTTCAACTAACAGATTTTTAAGATTTTCATTGTTATGAGAAATTAAATTCGAATCCCCTTGAGCTAATTGATTTAAAAATTAATCTACAAAGCTGATTTGTTCACATTAGCTGTACCATTTTGATTTATTTAAAGTAATAAAAATTGAAAAATAGTAATAGCATTATGATGAGTTGTAAAATAAATAGAAACATTAGTTGAGTCATCACACACAACATGAATGATACGATTGTGACATTCCAGTAAAACCACCAGATCAGATTTAAGCTGAATAGCCTTAGTCACAGATGGGGTCCATTGTTTAAATTATTTCCATTCATCTTGGGAAAATATTAAACCTTCTTTTGTGGGGTATAATTTACTATTCCCATAGTCCCTGTATTGACATATTTGTATCTTCAATTATTCATTGAATGTGGTTATCACGATAAAGGCCATTTCCCAGTGGATATGCATGATGTCATTCTGAGGAATTATTTCTTCTAGACGGAATCAAAGAACCTTGTTGTTGTTATTCCATCTGATCGAGACCTCTACTTTTCTTTGCGGCTAAAGTAGACTAAAAATCATAACATTGGTAGAAAGTAGTGAAATATAACAACTCTATGTAAAAGAAATTAGTAATCTTAATCAAAAACAAAACAGAATGACAAATAAGAATCATATTTAAGAAACCAACATGATACTGATATACTTAATCTTGCAGTCTGGCTGAAGAGCATTGTTTTTTTAAAGCTAAAAGAACTGTTTCGTGAACTTGAGACAACTAAAACTGTTTATCAACATTCTTTCAGACTCACATATGCAAAGTTATTTTAAACCTGCTATCATGGGAAGCCACTACCAGAATTAGATGACAGCAGTCTGAAATTAGAATTCAGCTAAATTAAATCAGAAACACGCATGTGTTTCGTAGAATTAGACAAAGTCTAGAGTTTTCTGTAATCCCATGAAGAGATAATGAGAGAGTCGATTATAAATACGAGAATCAAGTAAAGCAGTGGGTACGTTTTTTTTTGTTTTTGTTTTTTGTTGCAATTAGGAGACTGCCAGTCATTTAGTGAAGTATTCGGATTTATGTTAGTTATCGCGAATATTCAGTTAATATCCAATCAACTGTCTGTGAAATTGCACCAGTAAGTTTATTTGTACATTAGTCATATAGTACCATTAGCGAGGTATTTCCATTGAAAATAATTTATAAACTTAGGCCTACAGCTTACAAAAGTGTATAAGTGAAATATAAAAGCGTTAAAGAAGAAATAAACTAGATTTTTATAGTTACGTATACTAGTCTTTGAATTATTTTCACCAAATGATTTAAAAGAACCTGCCTAATAAAATAAGAAATGTTATAACTGTTACGTCTCCGTTCGTTCGTTAATTAATTTT